CGCACATCACGCTCTACATCGACTATCAGTCCGATCTCCAGATGATCGGCCGGCTGCTGCCCTATATCAACGCGCATTGCAAGGCGGTCAGCCTGCACGGCATAATAGCCAACGCCGAGGACAAGTTCTATGAGCTTCTGCGCCAGATCACCGTGCCCATCCAAGAGTACCATCTCAACCCCGACCTGGTGCCCAATGGCATCGCGACCGACCAGACCACGCGCCCGCTGATGCTGGAGAGCCTATACACCCAGCGACAACTCAAGTCGCTACAGTGCTACTACTCATTGGGTGTCAGCGCGTTCTATGAGCGCCTGCCGCGAACGCTCACCAGCTTCCAATTCAACGCGCAGTATCTCAACATGCCCAACAATTTGACCGAGTTCATGAAGCAGTGTACCGCGCTCGACACGCTGGATCTCCGGATAACGGGTCCGTTCGACGTGGAATGGGCCATCCCCGATCTGTTTGAATACTTGGTCGAGAACAAGACGATCACGAACCTTACGCTCAACTGTCCCAACGTCGACTCTGTCCTGGGCTGTCTGCGACTGAACACGACGCTGCTCAAGTTGCGGATGTATCAACAGTTTGGAAACGATCAGACTCTGCTGCTGCCCAAGTACCAGCATGAGCAGACCAGCAACAACATCGTCAACTACACAATACAGAGCTTGCTGTTGGACACCAAGCGCCTATCGACCGTGGCGTGCAACAGCCCCACGGACTACTTTGCTGGCCTGCATCACCTGGAGATACATCTATCGAGTTATTACCGCGATTGGATTGACACGAGACTTGGCCAATGCCAGACACTGCGCACGATCAAGTTTGGACAGGGCACCAACTCGACGATATTGTTGAATGCCGTTGAGAAGCTGGCCACGTGTGGATCACTGTCGATGATATCATTTGGCTATCTAAGCTTTGAGGCAAAGGACATGGCTGACAACATTGTCAAGTGTCTAGATCAATGCAATTCAGTGTCGATCATCAGAATTGATGAGAGCAGCTTGAGCAATGAAAGATTGATCAATGCCATGAGGAGTTCAAAAGTGTACAAGTTTCACAAGAGGAGACAGGACATCCAGTATCATCATGTTTATGGTAAGTACTCGCGGTCATTCATTCACTCCACATCAATCAATCAATCAATATGGAATGATTCCATTCAAACACTCAATCAATGATACAACCACTAACTATTCATTCCCAATAGAGAGGAAGATCATCCTCACTTGAGACTCCTCTTTTATGGTCCACCTCAATCATCATCATCATGTTTAATGAGGACATATTGTATTAAAGTTTGTTATAATTGATTTTGGATTTCATATATGCATCAATCAATCTATCTATCAACCAATCAAACATCGATCCAGTCATATGATCAATGCATGGTCCTCCAAATTCAGTGATTACCATGGCCATCATTCCCAATCATTCATTCATTCATACATTCATTCTTGAGAGCACTGGGCCACGCATGACACTATCAGACCTTGACTCGATGTATTTGGTTGAATTCATGGACAATGGAATCCTTCTCCAAGATATTAATAGGATTGATTGAGTACTCCATTGTTGCAATGTTGATGTTATTTTAAGATTGGGAGTACCTCTATCAATCAATCAATCAAGATTGAGTGGCACTGAATATCATAGGTAGGTATCAAAGTCTACATTGGTGGTATTTCGGAACCCATCAATAGTCCATCAATCATAAGATCAGCATCATCACTCATAACATTGTCATAATACCCTGATCACATAATCCGACTTCAACTTCTATAAATACTTAAATCAAACACACACAACAACCCTAATCACACACAACTCATCACTTTCGTACCCATCATCACTCACTCACCCCATCCATCAACTCACCCACACTCACTCATAGTCGATATATACACCCATCTATAAAGATATATAACAATGATTGATTGTGATGGATGGATGGATTGATGGATGGCGCCACACATATTTTAAAATATTTGGATTCTGTTAAACAATTGATGAGACCGTTAATCAATTTCCATTGTCGTTCCATCTAATATTATTCCCTATCATCATTATCTAATTAGATCAATAACTCAATCAAACAATCAAATAATATAATAATGACAACAAGATATTTACTCTCCATAATACTACTTTGTAGTATATGTAAGTGATCATTCAATCAAACGTATAATGGATATTTAATTAATTAATTTATTTTCCAAAAATATATAGATATAATTGGAATCACACGATCACAATCACAACCAGATACTAAGGTTATAACAGCCACGATATTCGATCATCATCCATGGTTAAATCCAGATTTTGAATATGATTTGACGGGTGGCAAGGTGGTCCCTGGACTCGTGAGCGATAATATTCAAAAGACTGGTGTGCCCCAGTTCATTGGCAAACCAGGCGACGGTGCAATCACCAACGCCAACACATTCGCGCAGTGGTTTGTCAACACGCCAAACGTCAACATCCAGATGGACTACAACCTCACGCTGACGCGCAATCAAACCGACAAGACCAAGTACTACTTCCTGGACGACTACTTCTTCCCCATCGACAACAAGGGCTGGGACGCCTACACCAACAACTTTGGCGCGCCACTCTACAAGCGATACTCCAACGGCACCACCTTCCACAACTTCCACTTTTGTCTGCATGTGAGCGCCGCTTTCCACTTCCAGGGCACCGAGCTGTTCTCGTTTGCTGGCGACGATGACGTCTGGGTGTACATCAACAAGAGCCTCGTGGTTGACCTGGGCGGCATCCATCAGATGAGCTACAAGACGGTGAACTTCTCCGAGATGGGCATCCAGAAGGGTGACCTATGCGACTTTGACTTCTTCTATTGCGAGCGCCACACGGTCAACTCTGAATGCGAGATCGTCACCGAGCTGGACTTTATCTGCAAATACTACGACTACTGTGGCGTGTGCCAGGGCATTGGATCGTGCTGCTCGCCAGACCGCGACTGCAATGACAACAACCCATGCACGATCGACTCCTGCCCCAACGACTACACCAACGACACCTTGAAGAATGGAAATTGGAAGAATTATTGCCAACACACTCCCGTGGTATGCGCGCCGTACAACAAGTGTGACCTCACATCTTGTAATTCTGCCACGGGCAAATGTGATCATAGTGTGCGCCAGTGTGACGCACGTCCATGCTTCGACGCGACGTGCAACCCCACACTCGGATGCCAGTACACGGCCAAGAATTGCTCGATCAATGATGTGTGCAAGTCATCGACATGTGATGCCAACAGCGGCAACTGCGTGTCCAAGGACATTGATTGCAATGACAATGATCCGTGCACAGTGGACACGTGCGACTCCAAGGTAGGATGCCAGCACACACCAATGCCCTGTGGAGAGTGTAAACAATGTAATGCGGGACAGTGCCAGGAGATCCAAGGATGCCAGAGCTGCTCATCGCCATGCCAGTCGCCTAACGACCTCTGCAAGGAGGCATTCTGTTTGAACAATGGCACCTGCTCAATCAGGGACAAGAGTGGAAGTGATGGTAATTCATGCACGATTGACTCGTGTGACCCATCAGATGGCTCGATCAAACATGTTCTCATGGATTGCGCTTCATCCGCTGATGGATGCCACACTGCACAGTGTGTCGAGGGACAATGTGTCAGCACGCCAGTCAACTGTAGCGATGGAAATGTCTGCACCATCGACTCGTGCGCCAATGGTACATGCGTGTTTGCCGCCAATACATGCGACGATGGCAACCCATGCACTGTGGACTCATGTAGCGAGCAGACTGGATGCATCAACACACCATTGTCATGCCCCACCAACAACATGTGTGAGGTCGCCTCTTGCAACTCGACCTCGGGTCTCTGTCAACTTGCTCCTCGTCAGTGCCCCCAGCCATCAGACTTTTGTCGCGTGGCCGTATGTGACAACACTGTCGGATGTGTGGAGATTGATCGCCCATGCATTGCCGACGACCCCTCATGTCAATTCGGTCGATGCAACAATGTGTCCAATCAATGCGAGTTTGTAAATTACACTCCACTACCATTCCGTTGCCAGAGTACTGCTGTCAAGGTTGGAGTATCTATTGGTGCCGCAGCCATTGCTGGTATCATACTAGCTGGAGCAGTTGCAATTGGACTGGCAATATTCGGTGGAAAGAAAGGATATGAATATTGGAAGATGTCACAAGATCAACGCATAGCTGGATCAAACAACAACCCATTATATGAACCAAGTCCAAACAACCAAGAGAATCCATTATATCGCAACAAGTCATTCATGTAGTCCCCCAACCAATCATATCTTCATTCCGTCCGACATTAATCAACCATTCCGATCAAATCCAATAAATCATATTATGTACATTTATCCAGAATGATGAGTTTGATCAAACTCGTCTTTATGATCAAAACACAAGACTCTGCGAAGTGCGATAAAAACCTGAAGTAGTGAAAAAACGACAAAGTGATCACACGCAAGAATGACACAAACACAAACTTCCCATTGTCATCAGTACTTGTTCTACCCTTTCACTCTTACTCCATTCACTCACTCACTCAACCATAGTATATACCCTTTGTATACTCTATACTTGTTTCCCTCTTGAGCCCATCTACTCATATCATAGACACAGACAGACAGGGAGCAGCAGCAGCAGCAGTAGCAGTAGCAGCAGTCAATCAATCCAACTCAGACACAACACAAACACATATACAAGATGAGCAAGCCACAGGATCGTGATGATAACCCATTCAAGTTATCTCCTCGTTTCAAGAACAAGACAATCGTCACAAAGAAGGAGCCAAAGCATTGCTTCGACTTTGTCGAGGTCTACTCATACTGTTTGAACGTACACGACTTTGAGCTCAGCAAGTGTGCTGGTCAGCTCAAGGATCTCGAGAGATGTCAGAATGATCTGGTAAGTCATGTCAAGCGTCAAGGATCACTCAGGGATCATCACCATCATCATCGTCATCATCATTATCTCTAACATACTTATTTGATCAAACAGAAACAACCAAAGCGCGAGTCACCATTCAACTATCATCTGCGACGAGTCATTGCTAACAAGTACAGGATACCAATCTAAAGTGTCAAGCAATCAAGCGAGCGATGCGAGATACGAATATACTAAGCAGAGAATGGAATAAAAGAGCGTCAATGTCAATATCAACTGATCAATCGTGCAACAGCTGCTGCGAGTAGTTGTTGTTGCCACGCCACATGACAACACTTGCGAGCAACGATCAAACAAACAAACTAAAGGAAGGCGACAAAGAACATTTGAGTGATCGATGATCCCCATTGCAACAAGGCAATGAGATCATGATGATGGTGATGTTTATTATTGATTGATTTAGAACAGGGACATGATCAATAGTGATACAATTGGTACGACTACGATGCTCAGAGTCGAGACGCCGGCAGATCGGTGTGCAGTACCTGTGGTGGCTAAAGAAGATAAAGAAGAAGAAGAGGAAGGAAGGAAGTAGTTAGTAACTATTACTACTACCTTGATTGAGTTGATTGTTTAAAGATACTTACTGCTTGTGATGTCAATTGGGACCTTGGTGAGGGGCTCTCCAGACTCGGATGTTGTCGGTGTGACTGGGGGCTCTGGTGATGTGGTCACTGGGGCGGTAGAGGTAGAGGTAGAGCCAGTGGTGCTAATGGTCGATGGGGTCGTGGTTGAGCTGGTGGTCGATGATGTTGTGACCTGGCCGGTGGTAGAGGTCGTGGCAGTGCCTGGGGCGGGAGTGGCTGTGGTGTTGGACACCGATGTGACCTGAGGACTGACGGTGGTGATCGATGATGTGGTCTGTCCAGTTGTCGACTGGGATGTTGTGGTCACTCCTGTGGTTGGACTCTCACTTGACGATTGTGCGGTAGTTGAGTATCTGGTTGTGGGCAAGGCAGAGGTGGATTGTCTGGTGGTCGATGGCTCGGGTGTCTGTGAGGTGGTCGATGTCACACCGGTGGTGGACTGCGCGCTGGTGGACTGGGCGGTCGAGGTCTGGGAGGTGGTGGACGAGTATCCAGAGCCGATGGTCGACTGCTCAGTGGTGGACCAGGCCGACGATGATTGTTCGGTCGTCGAGAATCCTGTGCCGGTGGTCGACTGCTCAGTTGTAGACTGGGCGGTGGAGGACTGGGCGGTGGTGGACTGGGCAGTTATGGTGTTGACAGTGGAGGACTGGGCGGTAGTGGACTGGGCTGTGGTAGACTGAGCGGTGGACGAGTATGCAGTTGAGGACACACCGGTTCCGGTTGTGGACTGGCCAGAAGTGGACTGGGCGGTAGAGGTCTGGGATGTAGTGGAGTAGCTCGTGGTCGTGGAGTTATCCGATGTACTGGTGGATGGACCTGTGGTGCCAGAGGTTGTGGATGTGCTCGTGGTAGTGCTGTTGCTCGAGGTAGTGCCAGATGTAGCGGAGGTCGTGCCAGAGGTAGTTGTTGATGTACCCGAGGTTGTCGAGTTACCAGTCGTGCCAGATGTGGTGGTTGACGTTCCTGAGGTRGTCGAGTTRCCRGTWGTGCCRGATGTTGTCGATGTGGCAGTGGTAGTACCAGAGGTGGTTGTAGACGTTCCCGAGGCAGTTGTTGACGTTCCAGTAGTGGTCGAGTTACCAGTTGTGCCTGATGTTGTCGATGTGGCAGTAGTGGTGCCTGAGGTGGTCGTTGACGTTCCGGTTGTGGTCGAGTTACCAGTAGTTCCCGATGTGGTCGATGTGGCAGTGGTAGTTCCTGATGTTGTCGTCGAGGTGGCAGTGGTTGTTCCCGAGGTAGTTGTTGACGTTCCGGTGGTGGTCGAGTTACCAGTTGTGCCAGATGTGGTCGAGGTAGCAGTGGTAGTTCCAGATGTGGTGGTCGAGTTGCCGGTAGTGCCAGATGTTGTCGATGTGGCTGTTGTCGTACCGGAGGTGGTAGTGCTAGTGGCGGTGGTAGTTCCCGAGGTAGTAGTGCCGCTGGTGGTGGTCGAGTTGCCAGTTGTGGCTGTGGTGGTACCAGATGTTGTCGTTGAGGTGCCAGTGGCAGTGGTAGTACCAGAGGTGGTCGTCGAAGTGCCGGTAGCAGTGGTAGTACCTGATGTTGTCGTTGAGTTACCGGTAGTACCTGAGGTAGTGGAGGTGGCAGTGGTAGTTCCAGAGGTGGTGGTCGAAGTGGTGCCACTAGTGGTAGATGTGCCGGTGGTGGTCGAGTTACCAGTTGTTCCAGAGGTAGTCGTGGAGGTGCCAGTAGCAGTTGTGGTGCCAGATGTGGTTGTAGAGGTGGTTGTGGTAGTACCCGAGGTCGTGGTGTTTCCAGATGTTGTGGCAGAGGTAGTTCCGCTGGTAGTCGATGTTCCAGTTGCAGTTGTGGTACCTGATGTTGTCGTTGAAGTACCGGATGTAGTAGTGGTCGAGTTACCGGTTGTAGCTGAGGTAGTACCAGATGTAGTCGTAGAAGTGCCAGTAGTGGTGGAAGTTCCTGATGTTGTCGTTGTGGCGGTGGTAGTACCGGAGGTAGTTGTCGAGTTACCGGTCGTTCCTGAGGTAGTSGTAGATGTTCCAGTGGCRGTGGTAGTACCCGAGGTGGTAGTTGAGGTGCCAGTAGCCGTGGTRGTACCAGAGGTCGTTGTCGAGGTGCCAGTGGCAGTGGTAGTACCAGAGGTCGTTGTCGAGTTACCGGTAGTTCCAGAGGTCGTGGTCGATGTTCCTGTGGCAGTAGTAGTGCCACTAGTGGTTGTCGATGTTCCAGTTGCTGTGGTAGTTCCAGAGGTAGTCGTTGAAGTGGCTGTGGTAGTACCGGAAGTAGTTGTCGAGTTGCCAGTGGTAGTTCCAGAGGTCGTTGTGGATGTACCAGTAGCAGTAGTCGTGCCACTAGTGGTTGTCGATGTTCCGGTTGCTGTGGTACCTGAGGTAGTTGTCGAGTTGCCAGTCGTGCCTGATGTCGTCGTGGATGTTCCAGTTGCAGTTGTGGTGCCAGAGGTTGTCGTTGAGGTACCTGTGGCTGTGGTAGTACCGCTTGTGGTAGTGGAGGTGGCAGTGGTGGTTGTCGAGTTACCAGTAGTTCCAGAGGTCGTGGTCGAAGTACCAGTGGCTGTGGTTGTACCTGAGGTAGTTGTCGAGTTACCAGTTGTTCCGGATGTTGTGGTCGTAGTGCCAGTAGCAGTGGTAGTGCCAGAAGTGGTCGTGGACGGGCCTGTGGCAGTGGTAGTTCCTGATGTGGTCGTGGATGTTCCGGTAGCTGTGGTGGTAGTTCCTGACGTGGTCGAGTTGCCGGTGGTGGCAGTGGTAGTACCCGAGGTGGTAGTTGAGGTGCCAGTAGCCGTGGTAGTACCAGAGGTCGTTGTCGAGG